TTAAATTCGTAATTTTTTTTTTATTATCTTTGAACTTACATTTTTTTTTTCTTACTTCAGACTTATAGTTATTTTGAAAGAGCTTAAGAAGATTAAAATGTTTTATTTGTAATACCATTAGCTTAGGATTAAATTAAATTTATATTACTTAACATAAAACGACTTAATATAAGTAAATATAACTTAAACATCTTAATTAAGTAACTTTACTTAAGACGACTTAATTTAAGTATTCTTATATAAGACAACTTAATATACGTAACAATAACTTAAGATGACTTAATTTAAGTAGACTTAACATAAGACGACTTAATATAAGTAAACATAACTTAAAATGACTTAATTTAAGTAGACTTAACTTAAGACGACTTAATATAAGTAATTTAATTCTAAACAAACTTAATGTAAGTCTAATGTAATGTAAATATAAATTTAGCATAAGATATTTTTTGACAAAATTTGTTTGTCCCAGTAGTTATTGTTTCAATTTATTCATTGAAGACTTAATCTGCAAGATATTACTGTATAATTTTATAAAGACAATACTTATTTGTAAAAATAATAATTAAAAAAGAAGTGATAAAAATTTAGTTTAATCTAATATAATTGATTTACATAGTCAAAGTCAAATTGACTTTATGATTTGATTTTAAGGTTAACAAAGGAATACAATTAAGAAACTAATCGATAAAACAATATATTATTGGAAACATATTTTGGAAAGTTGAAATGTATAGATAATATTAGGTAAATTCACTTATAACTTGCACATATTGAAAGGAAACTAACTAATAATTTATTACATTAATAGTCTCCAAGGCAATTGAAAATTAGTAGCGTTATAAAAATCCGGACTTTTTGAAACCGGACTAATTTAAAAACTAAATATATTAAAAAATATACCGCACAAAGGAGACTTGAAAAAGAGATAAAAGGAGATTATTTATGTATAAATAAATAACTTTGTCAATTAAAATTTAATTTGTTTTGAAATTTATCCGGACTTATCGAAGGTATAGCTTAATTTCGACCTCAATGTTCTCAATTTATAGTAATATATCAAATTACTACATTTTTAACGTACCAAAGTATTTCTTCTAGTAACAACAATAAAATAAATATAAAAAATGCAAGAGCCAACATTTACAAATAAAGGAATTTGAAGCCGCACCCTTTACTTTATACATGCATTATTTGCATGTTGTTTTCTCGCAATGCATGCGTTTGGACCATCTTGCATTATTACACAAGAAGAATAATAATATTAGTATTTCTACAACATATTAAATTTTAACTTAATATTTGATTCATACTTCTATCAATCAAATAATTCTGTTTCAAAAATTACTATACAGAAAACTATTTAAAGTTTATTATTAAAATTTCAAATTGCAAAAAAAAACGAAAGTAAAATTTCAAGATTCATTCTTAAAACGTTGATTTGAATAAACTTAATTTAATTTGTTGGAACTAGTTTCGAGTAAAAAAGAAAAAAAAAATGAGGCAAGTTATAAATAGTTATTTCATTAAGGATAAAAATATATAATGGACTTTGAAGTTCACCGATTTTATTCCAAATTTTGTAAATATGTGATTCCGAAAAATCTATATCTAAATCCCGACAACTTAAATCAATGTCGGGATTTTGGTACTGTCAAGATTATGGTTGTTAGCATTTCGAATGCACAGTAAACTTCAATTTGTGTACAATGAAATTTCATTTAGTTATTACAGTAATACCTCGTATATTCCATGTAATCAAAGATCATTTATGTATAAACAAATCATTTGTGTACCATTTTTATAGAGATTCCTTTAATTTTGTTTGTTGATGAAATTTTCAAACCGGACTATAGTGAATCCCGTCTGATCGAAGCCAGGATTATGCGAGGTTTTTTTTCTGAATTTCGTTGTGAATCCTTTCTGATCGAAGCCAGGATTATGCGAGGATTTTTTTCTGAATTTCGTTGTATAATCTCATTGCTTTATTTAATAAATTATACTATTACAGAATGTGCAAATCAAAATAGAAAATTCTAAACAAAACTATTATAAATAAATGAATGGTATCAGACACAATAGAGAGGAAACTGCTGGAGAAAAAAACGATCATAAACAAATGTGACCGGCAAAACGACAAAAATCAGGTTGAAAACACTTTCGACCAGTCTCATTCATGCCTCACTGGACCCGATTTCCTTTTACTTTTGCATAAAATTCATACATCCGATATTTTATGCACATAACATTTTTTTTTATCTTAACAAAAAAAAATCTTCGAAATGTCACATTTTTATTTACCTCTCGTTGTGTAATAAATATTGATGATACATCGCCGCATCCAAGGTGAATGCGAAGCTCTTCAAAATTTCATATCAGAATACACACTTCTTATTCTTCTTATTTTTCTTCATCCGCGTTCGAAATCAAATCCAAGTAAACATCGCAACAAGGCGAGAAGATAATTGTTTGAACAAACCAACAAAAATAACATTTCGCAACGTCGTTATGAAACATAGGTCCGATGCTAATTCGTTACGCAACGAACATGTAAATTTTTGTCAATCTCTATCAAATATATTTTGTTCCTATCTGAATTTATAATTTGATTATTCAAGCTATAAATATATAAAGAAATAACCTAATGCAATAATTTAAATATCATAATTTAATAATATTTGTTGTTATTGTTATTTGGCAATGGGTTTTTTTCTGCTTCAGCATGTCTCATAGTTTTGTTGCTTGGAAATAACCAGTTGATGATTTCCAAACTGCAATTAATTCGTGATAATTTAAAAATAAAAATAGTGAGCAATTGTCAAGGAGAAGTAATAGTCAAATATTTTGGGAATATACTGATGAATCACATACACTTTTTTTTTTTGTTAACAGTTACAACTTTCTTAATGATTCTAATAATTTATACGTTTTACATAAAAAAAAATATTGTAAATTTATGCGATAAAAAGAAACTGACTGTAATATTAATAATTGAAAATTATACAACTCATTTATGTTTGAAAATAATATACAAATTACGTTTATAAATAAAGTTTTTCAAAAAAAATATGACTATTCGAAATGTCATTACATAAATAATACTCAGTTAAAATAATAGATCAAGTCATGAAACTCTTATTCGAGTGTGTAAATAATCATTTTAAGATTGTATTAGAACTGTATCATCAGTTTAGTCAGAACTTACATCAGCGTTTTCCAAACTGTGAGGCGCGCCTCAAAGGGGAGGCGTTTACTAGTCTAGGGGAAGGCGCGAATATTAGTAGCAGTGAGCAATTTTCCAAATATCTGCTAAAGTATAGATACATTCCTGTGCTCTTATTCATATTGCTGTAATACGCGTTCAAAGTTGAAAAATTGAAATTAGAACGTTCAAATAAGCAGTGTTTTTACATTTCATTGATTTACTCGAAAACTATAATACATAGATTGAATCCAAAAGATGAATATGAAAGCTGAATGTTTGGGGCATGAAGCAAGTATCGATATATTACTGTGGTTTTAGCCGTTTGGCTGTAATTCGTCAAAATTTAAAAAATGCTCGAAAAAGCAGTGTTTTTACATTTCATTCATTTACTCGAAAACTATAATAGATAGAATGAATCCAATATATGCATATGAAAGCAGAATGTTTGGGGAATCCTGCAAGTATAGATACATTCCTGTGCTCTTATCTATATTGCTGTAATACACAAAGTACTGGATAATTGATGAAGAAGAGGAGAAATTTTAGTTGATAAAAATTACCACCATGAAGCTTTCAATTTCAAGCTTAACTTTATTTTTCATAAACATTTATATTCAATAAACATAATTTGAAACACAATATGTAATGAAACTTTTTTTAATAAAGCTTATGGAAGTGGAGAAATAATCAAATCTTTGACCCGCTTCATTAAACCTAAATAAAAAAAAGATACGTCGCGTTAGATTATAATCTAACTATTTATAAATATTACAATTGTTATATAACATAACATTTTATTAAAAAAAAAGAACTTATGTTTTATTTATTCAAAATTACAAATTAACAATTTGTATGAAAATATTTATTTTTTTTATCCAATAAATTAATTATATGTACAATTATTAAGATAGTTTGAAAAAGTGAAGTGTATAGGTTGTCGAAAGTAAAAAGAAATTGTATTTCAAACAAAAAGGAAACGAAAATAAAAGCGCAATGAATCAATTAAATATTTAAATCAATAGTACCAAATGCATAAATTATAATGAAATGTAGCCTTTTTTTGCGCTACAAAATACTTTCAATTTGATCTGTATTGTGTTTTTTTTTGTATAGGCACTTTTTTTTAAGTTATTTGAGTCATTTTGTGAGTTTTAAACTGGTTTAAGTTGATAGATCGTGACGTGAACAAAATTTCAAATTTACCAATTCTGATTCAAAGAAACAATTATTAAATATCAATAAGATGTGTAATTTACCACACGGAAAATCCTGATGTCAATAAGCCTTTGAAGCAGTTATAAATATGATTTATTTACTTTATTGAATAATGTAGATATTTATTAATAATTATTGGATAATATAACTAATTTGCTTTAAGACTTTGAGGGACACGCATTGTCCCACCTTTTGAACATGCCTAGTGGGGCATTATTATAATTTTCTAGGAAATGTCCAGGAAAGAGGAATTATCCTTTAATTTGGTGGGTATGTCAAAGGATGAAACTTGATAGCTGTCTGATTCAGTTGTCTAGAAATTTAGGAATTTTTGGAAATTTTAAAACTGTGTATTATTGTAATACAAATATTAATAATACTTTTTATATAAGGATATAAAAATGGTAGAAAAACTATGTAGACATTAGTATATTATTTAAATATTTATTTTGGTTCAGTAAAAAAATACATTAATTTCATATCCTACACATTAAAACACATCTAAATTATTAATACAAGGGAGAATATAGAATAACTAAATAGAAAATGAAAAAAAGTACACTAGTCACAAGGTGGAAAATCTGTATATGATTAACCTAAATTTGTATTCGTAAAAATGTATAAGTATAATTAATAATAAGAGAACGAAGCATTATTTACATGGAAAGGAAACAAGCCATGATCGTAGCCAAGAAGTGTGAACACGAAACAAAAATTGCCATGCACATCTTCGAGATGTTTCATTTGATTCTCGTCGTTGTCCACGGATCCAGCAGCCAATGGCATTGTCTTATACATAATTAGAAGTAAACTGCGTGTCCATTAACCTGGAACAAGAGAGAAAGAAAGAAAAAATAATAATTAAAACAATTATTGCAATCGACTAGAGAGTCTTATGTAACAGAAAGAATACCGAAATTCATAACTGGAACTGTCGCACGGTTATGTAAACCGATTCGGGTTCCACGGCTTTCGATAATTGCAAAACGATTAATAATAATTGGGTTGCGTTCTGAATAATAATTCAGTTGGCACCTTATTTTGTTACATTTTTCATGTAATGTTAATCCAGATTATGTAAATCAAATAATTCCATTTTAATTCATCTATGCTTTGTGAATTCTATTAGGATTCTATAACGGAAAAGAAATAAATGGTAATTGAGGAAATTATTTAGTGAATATTAATTATGGAATGCATTTATTTTTTTTACTATTGTGCATTTCAAATTAATAATAAATAGGATTTGTGAAAGTTTTGTTATAAATTAATCTTTTTCTGGTATAACTTCTGGTAGAGTTCCAATATTGTATAGTCCAAGGTTTCTGAAACTATGTTTCGCGAAAAGTTAATAAGTGCTTCGTTAAAAAGTGGACTGAAATAATAACTAAATAAATAATTAATGATTTTAAACATTTCTAAAATTTTTATTGATTATGTCTATCCCATAAAATAAAGAATGTATGAATACTCGCTACATTCCGCAAAGATCCAGCTTTCATATGCATCTTCTGGATCAAATGTATCTATTATAGTTTTCATGAAAATCAATGAAATGTGAAAACACTTCTTTTTTTAAGCGTTAATTTTTTTAAATTTAGACACGAATTACAGCCAAATGGATGAAACCACAGTAATTTATAAATACTTGCTACATTCCCCAAAGATCCAGATTTGCATCTTCTGGATCAAATGTATCTATTATAGTTTTCATGAAAATCAATGAAATGTGAAAACACTTCTTTTTTTAAGCGTTAATTTTTTCAAATTTAGACACGAATTACAGCCAAATGGATGAAACCTCAGTAATTTATAAATACTTGCTACATTCCCCAAAGATCCAGCTTTCATATGCATCTTCTGGATCAAATGTATCTATTACAGTTTTCATGAAAATCAATGAAATGTGAAAACACTTCTTTTTTTAAGCGTTAATTTTGCATTTTCTCAACTTGTGGATAGTTTCGTGAAATTTTCAGGATTTACAAAGTGTTCCATTGCAGGAGAAGTTTGGGAAACTCTAGTAAAGTGAATACATTTGTAGTATTTTCCAATATTACAATACATAAATGGGAATTGCGACTTCATAGATTTCATATTTACATAACTAATTGTAAATATTTACTAATTTTATGTAAGTGGATAAATATTCTCTGGCGGCAATCTTTTTGGAGCAAAGAGCCATTTTTAAGACAGTGTTTGTTTAAAAAAAAAGTCAAATTAATGTTTGGGAGCCGCATTTTTCATTAAAAGAGCCATTGAAAGATCCACCTGAGTCTGCTTCGATCTATGATAAATCCAGGCGAAATTATCACAAAATCCAATACGACGAAAATTTTTGGTTATAAAAGAGATTTATATAAATCTCTTTGACCCTATTTCTACCCCTTTTCTGGTTTATTCACAACTTTTTGTTGGTTTTTGAGGATCAAACCAACTTTTTCGTATCGGATTTTTGTGATATATGCGATACTATAGCCATATGGCCGCCTTTCTATAAGCATCAAAATTGGATTAAGTATGCTATGTTTTTATGAAGTCGTAATCCTAGTTCCGCCACTGTATAAACGTAACCACATATTGCATTGTATGCAACCCAATTTACAATAATATTTACTTAAATTTCTACAATATAAAATGCATCAAATATCTAAAATACCCACATAAATGAAGTAAATATAACATATTTATGAACTTAAAAATATTTGTAATATTACATGCCATTCCATAAAGAAAATAGAATTATTCTGTTGAAACTGTCAATTATATTCTTTAAATTATACAAGGTGGCGCAAAAATAATGTCATAGTTTGAATTCGCTGCCATTTTGTTATAAATGAAAAAAAAAGCTCTGACAAAAGCAGTAACAATAAATCCACGTTCTTGAGGTGTGTATCGCTCAATGGCTTGTTGACAACTAATTCCCTATCTATCTACATCATAAATGTCAAAACTCATTGACATTTGGCGCCATCTGCAAAAATGGCAGCCACTTCAAATCATGACATTACTTTTGCGCCACCTTGTATAAAACTATGTACTTACGTCGTTATTGATTGGAGTTGTAATTGGGAACCTTATAAAGGTCTTCGTTGATGTTGTAGTAGTTTGGTGTTGATGCACAGTCAACGTTGAACCACCAATCGCAGACTCTTGCAAATTGGTTGAAAATGGTTCCATTTGGACAAAGGAAGCTGAACTGTTGACCACTTGGCAAGCACCAGTGCCATACCTAAATTAATAGAAAATATTCATTAATATCATTCAATATTAGATTACATTTAATTTATTTTTATCAATTAATTTTTACAAAGAATTGTTTATGTATAATAATAAGTTCTTATCAAAATTTATCTTGTTCTTATTTGTTAAATTACATAAAATTTTAAGTGTAACGAGAAATCATAATAAGTAATGTTATATAACAAATATAACATCAAAACTTAAGTGTGCGGTATAATTTTAAAAATAGGTTCAAGAATGCTGTGAGATAAAAAACAAAGAATGAAAAACCTTGATTTATTAAGTATTAGTTTATGATAGTCACATGTAATTTAAAAAAGAATGATTATGAACATAATCCAATATAAAATGAGAATTTCTCAAGATTTAGAACTAAAAAAATGAAGATAATAAAGGAAAGTTCGATAAGAATCATTTTTTTTATTTGATATTGTCGTCTTTTATAATTGTACACAGAGTAGAGTTATTGCAAAAATATTATAATGTATTAGACAATATGTTACCTGGCATTGAGCTTCGGGGTCACTGTAATATCCGGGAATTCTTTGTTGGCAGGTAAACGAAAGCCCCTTTGGGACTTCACTGTAAATAGGATAGTCTTGACCTGGAATATATCCATCCAATTGCTGCAACATACGATTTTCAAAGCATACATTAATAAATTAATAATTCGCAACATTTTTAATAATGAAAAATCGATGACTGAAAGAAGTTTTAATAGAAAATATTAAAACTTCTTTAATACCAAATTATAATGTAATTTGTTTCTAATTTCAGAAGCAATATTTTATATTTATATACTAGATATAAATTGATAATTTACGCGCGCCCAGCGCCTTTTAAATTAAAAGGCCTCCAAATCACCAAAAAAAAGCGTAAAAATTTTCTTAGTAGGGTCAATATATTCAGCTTTCCTACAAGTGGTCTATGAGGTAATTATCTTTATTTTCTCCCTATTTTATGTTTGTTAATGTTATTTTAATTAATTTTTTTTTTCGCTTTCCTCCTCATTTTTTTAAACATGCAAAATCATCTTTGTTAGTTGGAATTTACATAGACATATTTCATTAAATTTCGTTGTAATTTTCTCCTAAATTTTGGAAATAATAGGTGAAATAAATAGTTCTGAGCATTTTTCGTTACATGGCTTTAGTGAACCATATCTGAAGATGTATATGTTGCATCTTGTCATTCTATACTGCGACTTAAAGGCGACATAACGATTAACGATTAACGACATAACGATAAAGCAGCGTTTTCTGAAAACTATAATAGATAGAATGAA